TAGGGGCGGGCTGGATGAAATGGAGGCTTGCATCTGGAGTCTTGTGCGACAAGAAAGTGCCACCGATACTCAAAGGTAAGTTTTATAGAGTTGTGGTTAGACCGGCCATGTTGTGTGGGGCAGAGTGTTAGCCGGTTAAGAACTCTCATATCCAGAGGATGAAAGTAGCAGAGATGCGGATGCTGAGGTGGATGTGCGGGTACACTAGGATAGACAAGATTAAGAATGAAGATATTCGAAGAAGGTGGGTGTCGCCCCTGTGGATGACAAAATGCGGGAAGCGAGGCTCACATGGTTCGGGCACGTGCAGAGGAGAAGCCTTGATGCACCGGTGAGGAGGTGCGAGCGGCTGGCCGTGGTGGGTACGAGAAGAGGTAGAGGGAGACCTAAGAAGTATTAGGGAGAGGTGATCAGGCAGGACATGGTACGACTTTAGATTTCCGAGGACATGGCCCTTGATAGGAAGGCCTGGAGGTCAAGCATTAGGGTTGTAGGATAGGGGTAGTAAAGCTTTCCTTACTTCATACCGGGGGTGAGGCGGGGTGGATTAGGGTTGATCTTAGATGGCTTGCAGTTTATGTGGAACCCACACTATTCTTGTTGTTTATCATAGCCCGGGCCTTAGATTCTGGTTACTGTTATTGCATGTCATTCATCTTTTGGTTTTTATGCTTCTCTTACTATTACGGTTTCTATTGGAGTTACTAATGAATTCTCTTTTCTTGTTTCTTATTTTATTTTCGTCTTTCTGAGCCGAGGGTCTATCAGAAACAGCATCTCTGCCCCTATCAGGGCAGGGGTAAGGGCAGGGGTAAGGTCTGCGTATACATTACCCTCCCCAGACCCCACTATATGGGATTTTACTGAGTAATTGTTGTTGTTGTATGTTTAGGTAAGTATGTCACGAGCTGAGCTATAAACAAGCTCAGTCGTGAAGAAGCAGAATAGGGAAGGAGAGGGAAAGAAGAAGAAGATAGAGAGAAAGTTGGATAATATTTCTGATAAGAAAAACATGCGTACATATGCCAGCTAAATAGGAATCCAGCATTGGATTCTAATGTAACAACCTATTACACCATTGACTACCACGTGTCCCTACTAGAAGGGATTTAGTAGGACCTAATTGTAAAAACAAGAAAATAAAGATAGGGACTAAACTGAACATAGTAAGACTTATGGACCTCTACTACTAAGCTTAATTCATGACAAGGTATAACGTTCTACATGTTGATGCCTGTCTTGCTATTATTTTGAATTGTTTGGTACCATTGAACTTTGGATTTCAAAATTGAAATTGTGATCTTGTTATCTCATAATTCCCTTTCTTCTTGACTTTCAACTTATGCTTGGTAGGAGAGAAGCAACTCGAGTAGGTCATACATCTCACTCCAAACCAGCAATAATGCACCACGCATCTCTCACCTATTTTTAGTTGATGGAATGCACGAGCAAATATTAACTTTTGCGCACATGTGATTTAAATAAATTTTTGTTAGTACACATGTATCTTTGTGGTTACTCAAATGAAGTTAAAGCCTTTTTTTCTTAATCAACTGCATCCATCCTAAAAACACTCCAACATAATGAGACAATTAAAAATAGGTATAATGTGAGAATCCCAAAAATAGGATGAACAGTCCATTGAAGCTATATTTTCATAATCAACTATTGAAAAGGATGCATATTTTTATATAAAGCTTTGTCTAATGTTTTGGTTTCTGTAATAGCAATTAGATAGATTGGACAGTGAGGCTTGAAACACAGAGTTCTACTTAACCAGTTCAAATTCAAGATGACATTCCTTCAAATGGAAATTGGCAATTGTTAGATAATGAATGTAGACATAATCTGAATGTAGACATAATCTTATGTAATATACATAGCTAGCATAATTATAGGGATTCACAGCAGACTTATAGGATTTTCTTTTTGATTCTTTCCATAATTAAGGCTCTTATGTACTTGTATATATACTTGTTACTTCTTGAATACAACACAAGAGAGATTTCTCTATTGTCTCTATACTTTACATGGTATCAGAGCATGTCTACTGCTTGCCGGAGTTGAGTCGAATCCGCTGCCGGAAATTCCTTGGTCGTAAGCTAATCTGAGGTCTTTTTGACATTTCCAATTGACTTGTGGTGGTTCTCTGATCATAGAACCACATTTTGGCAAAGAACAAACTCAGACCAAATCTTATTCTCACTTTGTTTGGTCAGGTTTGAGTTTGGTTTATTGGTTATTCGATTTCTTTAATTCTGTGGTATTTTTCTTGGAGGTTGCCTGTGTGAGTAGCTTGCATCTTTATTTTTGACTCACTGTGGTGATTGATTAGTAACTTGATATTGTCTGTTGGGTCTTTCCTTAAACTTTGTTGGTCTCTAATTTTGTTTGAGTTGGGGACAAATTCGTTTGGTTCTCTGATTTGGTTGAGTGGATTATTAAAGTTGAATCCTGTTCAATAGATTGTTGATTTCGTGTCTACCAGGATCTGTTTGAGTATCTTTTAGCTTCGGGGACCTCTGTTAGTTTAATCAGTTTGTTATTGAAAGAAAAAAATGATGGTAAAGAATAATAATGCAACAACTCCTAGTCCAACAATCTTGGTTTCGGATGAGTTTCTAAAATTCCTTCAATATCATAAATCAGTTAAGGAATCTTCTTCAGTTACTGTCTTTGCTGGGTCAGATAAAACATGTCTTATCACCTCTTCCAATAAATAGGTGATCGATTTTGGTGCTACAAATCACATGACAGGTAATCCAAATATTTTTTCTAGCTTTCGCTCACATAAAGCACCCTCTCCGGTTACTGTAGCTGATGGATCAACTTATAGCAGTGTTGGATCTGGGATTGTTAAACCAACTTCCTCTATTACCCTGTCATCTGTATTAAGTTTACCAAACTTGGCATTTAACTTGATTTTTGTTAGTAAAATTACCAAAGACCTTAATTGTTGTGTTGCATTTTTTCCCGATCATTGTTTGTTTTTAGATCTTAAGACGATGTAGGTTATTGGTAAAGGATATATATTGGTGATCTCTACATTCTTGATGACTGGGAGCCACGGTCTGTTGCATGCTCTAGTATCGTGTCTCCTTTTGAAGCACATTGTCGACTTGGACATCCCTCTTTGCCTTTGTTAAAGAAGCTCTATCTTCAATTTCAGAATATTTCATCATTGGATTATGAGTCATGTTGATTTGCAAAACACCATCGCATCTCGTTAAGTCCAAGGGTTAATAAGCGAGTTGAGTGAGCTTTTGAGTTGGCCCATTCTGATGTTTGGGGACCATGTCCGGTTGTTTCTAAAACTGGGCATAAGTATTTTGTCACTTTTATAGATGATTTTTCTCGAATGACTTGGATTTACTTTATGAAGAGCCACTCTGAAATGTTTACTTATTTTTCTGCCTTTTGTGCTGAAGTCAAAACTCAATTCAATGCTTCAGTACGTACTCTAAGGAGTGATAACGCTAAAGAATACATGTCAGAGTTATTTCAGTCCTACATGAGACAACATGGCATATTACATCAGTCTTCATGTGTTGATATACCCTCTCAAAATGGAGTTGTTGAGAGGAAGAATAGGCATCTACTTGAGACAGCTCGAGCACTTTTGTTCCAAATGAAGGTTCCTAAACAGTTCTCGGCTGATGCGGTTTCTACGGCTTGTTTTCTGATTAATCGCATGCCATCTAGTGTAATCGATGGTAATATGCCTTATAGTGTTCTTTTTCCGAACAAGTCATTATTTCCGGTGGAACCTAAGGTGTTTGGAAGCACATGTTATGTTCGAGATGTTCGACCATCTCTTACCAAGTTGGATCCCAAGGCTGTGAAGTGTGTTTTCCTGGGCTATTCTCGCCTTCAGAAGGGGTATCGATGTTATTCTACTGAGCTTGGCAAATATATAGTGTCAACTGATGTGGTATTTTCAGAGACTACACCATTCTTCTATGCACCTCCCATTTCTACAAGCCAGGGGGAGGAAGATGAGTGGCTAGTATATCAGGCTACCCGTACTTTGACAGAACAATTAGATGATACTCTTCGATCTCCCAGTTCTTCTATTGAGCACCAATCGACTATTATGCCTTCAGTACCTGCTCCAGCAAGACCTCCAATTGTTCAAGTTTATTCGCGGAGGCGAGAGACAAATGATACATGTCCCGCACCAGTTCCTGCATCATTTGATTCTTCTTTGCTTGATCCTTCAGATAACCTTGATCTTCCTATTGCTCTTCTCAAAGGTACAATACTTGCAAATCGACATATTCTGTTGCTAACTTTGTTTCCTATGGCCACTTATCCTCTACGTCTAGATCTATGATTGTTTCTCTAAACTCCATCTCCGTAAAGTTAATCCAGATGGTTCTGTGGCAAGACTTAAGGCCAGACTTGTGGCGAAAGGGTATGCTCAGACTTATGGGGGGATTATTCTGACACCTTCTCCCCGGTTGCCAAACTCACTTCTATCCGCTTATTTATTTCTCTAGCTGCGTCCGAGAATTGGCCTTTACATCAGTTGGATATCAAGAATGTGTTCCTTCATGGTGATCTTCAGGAGGAAGTGTATATGGAGCAACCACCCGGTTTTGTTGCTTAGGGGAGTATGGAAAAGTCTGTCATTTGAAGAAGTCCTTGTATGGCTTGAAGCAGAGTCCACGAGCTTGGTTTGGCAAGTTCAGTGAGGTAGTTCAAGAGTTTGGGTTGAAAATGAGTAAGTGCGATCACTCAGTTCAGTGAGGTAGTTCAAGAGTTTGGGTTGAAAATGAGAAAGTGCGATCACTCAGTCTTCTATCGGAAATCAGTAGCTGGTACTATTCTCCTCGTTGTATATGTTGATGATATTGTTATCACAGGAAGTGACTATGCTGGGACTTCTTCCCTCAAGTCTTTTCTGTATACTAGGTTTCATAAAAAGGACTTAGGCCAGTTGAAATACTTTTTGGGAGTAGAAGTAAACAGAAGCAAGAAGGGAATTCTTTTGTCTCAGAGAAAGTACATTCTTGACTTGCTTGTAGAAACTGGAAAGTTGGCAGCTAAACCTTGCAGTACTCCAATGGTTCCTAATGTGCATCTTATGAAAGATGATGGTGATCCTTTTGACGATCCAGAGAGATACAGGAGGTTAGTTGGGAAATTAAACTACCTTACTGTGACTCGTCCAGATTGCTTTTGCGGTAAGTGTTGTTATCCAGTTCATGTCTTCACCAACGGTCAAACATTAGGCAACTTTGGAACAGATTTTGTGTTACTTGAAAGGAGCTCCTGGACTTGGCATATTATATAGCAATCACAATCATACTCGTATTGAGTGTTTTGCAGATGCTGACTGGGCTGGATCGAAAATTGATAGAAGATCTACTACAGGTTATTGTGTCTTTGTTGGAGGAAACTTGGTATCATGGAGGAGTAAGAAGCAAAGTGTTGTATCTTGATCTAGTGCAGAATCCGAGTATAGAGCTATGTCACAATCTACACGTGAGATTATGTGGATACATCATCTGTTGACTGAAATTGGGTTAGAGCATCCAATATCAGCAAAACTCTGGTGTGACAATCAAGCTGCTCTCCATACTGCGTCAAATCCGGTGTATCATGAAAGAACTAAGTATATTGAGGTTGACTGCCATTTTATTCGTGAGAAGATTCAGGAGAACTTGATCTCCGCTGGCTACGTGAAGACAGGAGAGCAACCGGCTGATTTGTTCACAAAGGCGTTGAATGGAATTCGAGTTGATTACTTTTGTAACAAGCTGGGCATGATCAATATTTATGATCCAGCTTGAGGGAGAGTGTTAGATAATGAATGTAGACATAATCTTATGTAATATACATAGCTAGCATAATTATAGGGATTTACAGCATACTTATAGGATTTCCTTTTTGATTATTTCCATAGTTAAGGTTCTATGTACTTGTATATATACTTGTTACTTCTTGAATACAACACAAGAGAGATTTCTCTATTGTCTCTATACTTTACAGCAATTATAATACTACAACCCTAATACATGCTTGGAACAGGAAAACACCAACTCACACCACATTGGTACTCTTAAACTGAATGTAAGAGTTTGCACATGTACCCATGTTTTATATCCATGCCTGAGTTCAGTGGTGGAGATTAGCAAGAGGAAGGGTGGAGAATCTGGACAAAAGGTATATGTGGCCAGCCTTCAGTATAGAGGTTGGCTATGACTTGACTATATAGAAACCTTATTTTAAATAATACTATCAGTATTGAGATGACCGATAAACAATTTTACTCTAAGCAACAAAAGTTTTCTAATAAAACAAAAAAATGAAAACGAATATAAAGAAACTAGCTAGTTGCGTTTGCCTAACATATGATAGGATATCATTATGCTGATAAAGTTACTAAACTACAACCAAGAACCTCGCAAGGAAAATAGGCTTGAATAATCAGCAAAGTTCTCTCACCAAAGCTCCTTACCTCACATAAGGTAGGGGTATCGAACGGGTTCACCCCACCCTCCCGAGATCCCACTTGTGGGAACACACTGGGTATGTTATTGGGAAGAAGAGCCTTTGTCATGTGTGACTTTTAGCATCACAAGCTCTTTTTTATTTAGTGGGCTGCTAAACTCCAATCACAAAAGAAACCGCGAAAATGCATATATATGGCACTTGGCCCTTCATTTAGAACATAGATTTAAACAGATTCAGATCTCTAAAGGAAGATGAAAGTAATAATCAAGAGTTCATCCAAAAAACATCACAAACAGTGCTAAAAGAGAAACAGATAATTTACTTACCGTTTTCGTGAGCTTGCCTCCTTACTAACTTCTGAATCATCAAATGTGTAATCTGTTTCTGCACTGAAAGAGATAGGTGACCATCAGAATATGGAGATGGTAATAACAAAGAAAGATGCTGATCTCATCACTGCATCTTCCTTTTAAGACATCAGACAGGTATGTGCCCATAAGATTAGAAGTTCATCTTTCGTAGTTGTTACAATATCCTTGATGGAAAAGCTGATGGTTTTGAGTCCTAATAAATATATTTACAGAACAGGATTGAAGTCTTTCTATAACTTCAAGTAAGGTAATCTAGAGAGGAAATCTATAGCATCAAGTCCTCAACACAGAGTAATGGACAATTTCCTTGTGTTCGAAAGTACCCCCGATTCCAGTTTATGTGGCAACATTTCCTATTTAGTCTTTTTAGTTCGTTCTAAAAAGAATCGTAACTTTCTAAATTTAGAAAAACTCAACTTAAACTTCTCATTTTACTTAATGAGAAGATTTTATAGTCACACAAAGTTTATGGCATGTTTAAAACCAAAAGTTTCAAAAGTGTTCCTTTCTTTCTTAAACTTCTTGCTATTCAAACATTGCCACATAAAGTGGGACAAAGAGAATAACAACTTTTCAAGCTATAGACCGGCCAAAGTGACAATTTCTTGTTGAAGTTACCTGCTACCCCATAATAAGACTATTTTGACACCAGGTGTCACTTACCACGATCAGGGACGGATCCACCTTGTACGAAGGGGGTTCAATTGAACCCGCTTCATTGGAAAAATTCATTATTTTTACTTGTGAATTTCAGCAAAAATACACATAAAAGGGATAAATACTAAGACTTGAACCCACTTGATATAAACAGAGGTTGCAGAGCAACAGTCAAGCGGGTTCAAAGTAAGTCTAAGGTTATGCTAGTTCGATCCCCCGCTAAAATGCTTAATTGAAGCATCATTTCTTTTTAGCTTTGCTCCTAAACGTATATCTTTAAGACACGTTTGAATTCATCGTCCACTTCATCTTCTATTATAATGGTAGGAGTATATTATTTTGCTTATTGTTGCTTTGTTGTTCCTTTTCTTGTCCTTGTTTTTCTACTTCTCATGATTTCTTGCTATTCTTATTAAACTTCATTTTAGTTCAAAAAAATTTAAAGCTTTCCATAAAGTGAATTTTGGTTCTTTTTTCATAAGTATTGCTCAAAGAATGAGAGTGCTTTATTGAAATTACTTGTAATCTTTTAATTTAATTTTAGTTTATATTATATTAAAATTGTTAATTTGTGTTATACTCAAAATTTTATTTTGGCATACAATATCTTTTTCTTTAATCATTTTGGATTAATTAGTTTAGTTTAAAAAACTTGTTTGCCGTGTTTTGTTTGTAACTTTGTATGTTTTATTTCTTAATTCTTAGAGTTATAATACGATTTGTAAGTTGGTTGAACACTTCGATAAATTTGATAATTTATATAGATAAATTTCAAACATTTAAAGTAAATAGACTTTTTTTAAAAAAAAAAAAAGAAAAAGAAAAATTTCCCGAACTTATAAAAAAAATTATATGACTTCATTTTGAAGTCATGTGATGGAAAAAAAAAAGAGCCTTGCGCAAATGGTGTTTATTGGTGTACTTATACAATTGACTGTCGTGATCTTAGATTGAACCCGCTTGTATAAAATTCTGGGTCCGCCACCACGACCCTCCTGCTTTATTTCCATTACAACAAGTCATAATTTGCAAAGCTCGCACGCTTGGAGTTAAAAATTAGCATAGAGAGCTATGCCTAAATATCATCTAATCTCATATTCTCATTTTCATCATTTCATGTACCTCAGTACTCTCTTGAGCTTAAGAATTCTAGTGTAGAGCAAAAGCATAGTAAAAATTTTCTTATGGGTTTCTTTAATTCTACGGAAACTGACAATAGACTAATTAAAGAATTAAGCTTTCTTCTTACAGGTTCGGGTAGGACTGCTTATCGGGTCGATTGGGCGGTTATTTACTCTTTAACGGTTTGGCTTATTGGTTATCGGCTTTAGATGTATTAATCTGCTAGTCACCCGATAAGATATCGGGAGGATTGGTATCGGTTTAGCTCTTATCGGATGGTTATGGGGCAGTTTATCGGCCTAATTCAATCTATATTGCACATGACGTAATTTACCAAATTTCGCGAGGGTCCAAAATTTGCTTCGTCGTGCTTCAAATGTATGCTGATGTTGGTCAAAGAATGGGATTTCTTGCTCTTGTTTTATAACTGCTCCAATTTTCTTTAGATGCCGCTCTAATTTCTAAACAATCCAAGAACACCTGCCAAAATATTTACGGACTGACGTTTTTTTTACGTGCAAGCAAACCTGCAGATTTATATGTTAAACCCAATTTAACAGCAGATTCTACTCGTTAAACTATCTATTGTTTGTTAAGTTTTGGTACTTCCACTGCACCGTCTAGAGGTGGTAAGAATACGTGAAGTAATCAAGTAAATTATTTTTGGTTTGATAGGATTGAAAAGAATGCGCAAAGCAAGCAATTAAAATTTGTCTAATAATAAATTAGTAATAGAGAATAGAGATAGAGTACTAGAAGTGTTAGAAGGGTTTTTGATTATTTAATATATATATGGATAAAAATAAATTTTATATGTGTATATATATTCTTAACGGGTTAACGCATTATCCGTTAAGAAAATTGAATAATCCGCCCCCAAACCGATAAGCCGTTAATAAAAGAATTTCAATCTGTTCCCCGTCCGTTAAATCGTTAACCCGATACCAATAAGCCATTAAGCTTCGGTTTCGGTTTCGGTTCGGTTTTCGGTTTCGGTTCGATTTTGAATACCCCTAGGTTCGACAGAACCCAATAGCTTTATCCTAAATCCTATATTTGTGGTGAAAACCCCACTAAATATATTCAAATAATTTATCCAGAACCCACTAAGATGACTTTTCTAGTATCCAGAAACCATAAACTCAAAATCATATAAAAACGCGCTGCTTCTAAGTGCTTAAGTTAAAGGTAGAAGAGCAGACTCACATTAGATTAGAGGAGGCATAGATTGTTTGAGCAGGCCAGCTGAAGTCAATAGTGGCCGGAGACTGGAAATCAGTGACGGCGACGGAGGCGGCGGAAGTGATATCAGTCATCAACTCATAATCAAATAGCCAATTGGGATTCCCACTTGAATCAATCTCCATCGGGTAAACTTCTGTTCTTCAGTTCCTCAATTTGCTCTGAACACTAGTATTATTGAACTACAACTATAAGGAATAATTGAGTAGAGTAGTAATAGTAGCATTAGTTGAAATGATAGCATCAGAAATACATACATACATATATATATATATAAAGAAAGGTCATTTTCATTGGTTGCACAAATGGATGAGGACGGCGGAGAATTGACGGCAGCATCGAGAATGACAAAGTGAATTTCGTCATTAAATGGATTTTCTAACTCCTCAAAAGTAAACGCTCTTTTGTATGGACAACTAAAAGTGGCATGATTTTTGCTGCTTCACTACAACAGTAGCTTTCATTCATCTGTCACATTCATCAATCATCATTTTGAAATTGCAACTTGACTGCAACAACTATGGGTAAGCTTCTACTTGGAATTATCTCACATGTCTTATAGCCTGTTTGCCCAATCTTATTTTTGGCCACAAGTGCTTTTTGGGGCCAAAAGCATTTTTGGTCAAAAAATTAAAGTGTTTGACCAAGCTTCTGAAAGGAAAAAAAAAATGTTTTTGAGGAAAAACAAAATAGTTTTGAAGAAGTAGTTTCTCCCAAAAGCACTTTTTTGAGAAGCACTTTTGAGAAAAATATACTTAGAAGCAATTTTTTAAAGCTTAGCCAAATATTAATTATTGCTCAGAAGTGCTTTTTAAACTAATTAGCCAAATTCAACTTGTTTTTCGCCAAAAGTACTTTTGAGAAAAACAATTTTGAAAAAAAATACTTCTCAAAATAAACTAATTTTTGTAGCTTGGCCAAACAAACTATTAGTTATAAACCTA